TAATCATTGCTTCTGGCCAAGCTCCGCTGTTTTTTGCTGTGGCAACTTTTCCAAACTAGCTTGCTCTCGATTGATAGGCCGGTTTCACTGCAGTGAGTGCCAAGGCGGCTACATGCCCGCTATGCGCTGAGCCCGCTCGCGCCGCGTGCAATTGAAATTGTTGTAATTGTTGTTGTTGTTGTTGTTGTTGTTCTTGTTCTTGTTCTTGTTCTTGTTGTAACATTGTTGTTGCTGTTGTTGTTTTTGTTGTTCCTTGTTGGTACAGACAAAAACGGCAGCCCGTAACTTATGTTAATTACAAACATTTGGGAATGCTTCCGGCGATCGCAAAGGGTGCCTGTAGAGTTTTGGAGAATGCAAGCCATGGTTTGCACAGCATCTGCCCCATGCTAGAAATGCTGCGTAGGCTGGGTGGTTCTTGTAGAGGGGGGGGTCCAAACAACAGACGGGCCTCCAGTTTTGTCTCTAGCAACCAGTAGAGGCAAAGGCCCCGTTGAAATCAGGACTTTGTCTCTACCTGTTGGTAGAGACAAAAACGTGGAGCCTCGTCTGTTGTTTTGACCCCTCCCCTTTACAACAACCGCCCACACCTCACCACGTTTCCATCCGGGTATGGGAATCTGCGAAGTGTAGAAGGGGTCTTATGGGTTTTGTAAGGGATTTAGAATTTACCGGTAACGTTGTAATGGGATTCTGCAGGATGTAGATGTAAATGCATATATGCATATATATATATATATATTCATACATGCATATATGATGCAGGGCTGCCACACCCCCACTCCCCCCCATCCCATTGTATCTCCCCCTCCCCCCCTGTGAGGTGGGGCCTGTGGCCGCATCCCGGCCCGCCCCTTGTTCGCCTGCTGCCGGTGATACTGCTCATGATGTTGTGCTGCTCTAGACGGCGACGCGAGTCGACAATCGGATCATCTTTGACATCAGGCTGCTCATCATCATCATTGTCGTCGTCATCTTCCTCATCAGTACCGTCAAAAGAACAGCTGTCACCATCGCCATCGCCGTACAGCCCTCATAGCTAACCATTGTAATCCATGTCTGATGCGGGAAACTACTGCGCAGATTGCCGCTTTCTGGACGGAGCAGGGGTTGGGTACCATAGGGGACCCACACGACACCCCCAATCTGCACAGCAGCAGGCGACACCCCACCCTCACTGACGGGGGTGGTGGGGTACCATAGAGGGGGTGGGGGGGGATACCAAGGGGCGGGTGTGGTGGCCCGCGACCCGAAAGCATATGCATATATATATATATATATATGTTTATACATATATATATATATATACACATACATATCTCTCTGTGCGTGTATGCGTGCGCATGTGTCTTAAGCCGTGCTTGTCGAAATCGGCTGTGTGCATGGGAAATTGCTATTTTTCATGCGCCGTGCCGCCACCGACGTGTATTATCGGGTATGGCTGGTTTAGATGCCTTGTGCTACAATCTTGAGGACGTGCTTGCGAAATCGAGCGTCTGCATGGGTTTTGATGCGGGGAATGGCTGCTTTTGATGAGCCGCGCTGCCAGCTGCAGTTGGGAAGCGCACATTAAGGATTTGATGTCTATGTCATGTGATTTTGATTGTGTTGTTAGCGCGTACGCTGAAGTTCCTGTAAACGTCAATGTCACTGAAACCGGCCGCTGCAGAGCGAAGACTTTGGGAAAAAGGACCGGTGGTGGTGCCTGCGCTTTTCGCAAAAATCCAGCGTGTAGTCATAGGGCGGGAACCTTGCAATAGTATTTCTGCTTTTACACCAGCGGTCATCCCCTGTGATCCAGTCTGCTGTGATCTGTGGTCAGACCGAGGACAAAACTCTGCTCTGCAAGTTCTGGTTGAAGAATCGCTGCGATCGGAGCAACTGCAAGTATGCGCACGGAGAGGACATTGCCATCTAAACTGCAAACCGTGGCCCCACCCCCGAATCCCGACCACCCCGAAACCGTGATCAGTCGGCCAGGAGGAGAAGAGACGAGCCTGCAAAGCCATCATGTGCTTGTTCGAGGCCTTGGGGTGCGCTTGGGGGTTCACCTCAGAAGGCAAGGACAGAGGGAACTGCAAGATGCCAACATGAACGGAGGCCAGCGGTGGTTGCCGGCTAGGTTCCGAATGCCTCTATGCGTCTCTCGCCCTTGAGAAAGATAAGTGTCGACTGCATCTGCTCATACTCGTACGAGCTGCATCTTAGCTGGCAGATCTGAGGCATTCCTGGGAGCGTCCCAGAGAGGTCGAGGAGGAGAGCCGAGGCGGCCTGAACGGGCCTCGCCGCAGCTTTTACGAGTGATCTGCCAGGTGAGGAAAGCGAGAGCGAGGCCACGAAACACAGAGCGAGGCCACATCCTTGCCTTGCGCGCTCTCGGGCACCAGGTTGATGACCGTGGGGGACATGTAACAATGGCCGTCCAAAGCGAGTCCGGTCACTCGTTCAGCTTTACGTCGCTGTGTCTCTGTCTGTGTGTGTGTGTGTGTGTGTGTGTGTGTGTGTTCGATCGTGTGCGTCAGTTAGCATCTGCTTGGAGCCGAGGTACCGCCTGGCACCAGGCCGGGAAAAGCCCTAGGAAAGGGACGTGAAACCATCGAAAATCATTGAGGCTGCGGAGTCCATGCCAATAGAAGCGCAGCGCTCCGCCTGCCGGAATCTTGCCGTGAAGTACATGATGCTTTGCCTGTAACTGTAGCTGCGAAGTGGCCCATGCCTTTGATGCGCTGCATGTCAATGTGCGGACTTTAAACAGGAACGTTCCGCTCGTTTGTTGCAATCGCTCCACCAAGGAGAGCTAACAGCCGGCAGCGTTTAGAGACCGCTGGCCGGCAGCTTGAAGCAGACCCATGGCTGCACGAAGACGCAAGCGGAGTTCCTTGGCATTTCACTTGGTTTTTGAGCATCCTCCGCCGTTTCCTGCAGGACCCTTTGAAATCTGCAGAGATTCCTTCGCCTCCAGCCTTGTGGGACCCCAGGATAGGCGGCTCCTTGGACTGCACGAGCCGTGCTGTTGAGGAGAGTGACTGAGACTCCAGCAACGCTAGGAAATGCTAGGAACTGCTAGTAGCTAGTAGGAGCTGCATGACGGCCATGATGTGCCACCCTTGTAGTTGGTACTCGTATGGGATACATCGGATGCATAAAAATGCATGCATGATGTTGATCTGCTCGATGTGCCAAGGACTCGGCAGGATGAAAGCCTCTCGCCAAAGCTGGGCAGACCTCAATTCGGATTCGGAGGATGAGGACTACGCCTGTGCCTGCTTTCCAGAAAGCTGGTCTCGGCAGTTTCAATTGGAATCCGTCAGCTTGAGGATTCCCCATGAACGAGCGCAAGACTTGCGGCTTTGCTGCACCTAGTGAGGGATATCCGCGGGGGGCCGCAGTCGAGCATGTCCTCCCAGTGACAGCCCGCCGAAGTCCCAAATCCAAGTGCGCAGCCAAGGTTCCTGGCAGCGGGGGCCTGGGGAAGTACAGTTGCGCCGTAGCCAAGTCCCGACACACCGAAGCGGCTCGAACTTGGGGCGGATAGAGCTTCAACGAAGTTGGGAGGAAGCCACAGCGCTCGAATGCCATTGTCACAGACTTCTTGGAAGTGGGCCACCTGTGTCCTTCTGTGGCTCTTGAGATAGGACATTCGCTGAAACGTAAGAAGGAGCTACAGGTATCTAGCATCTCAGGTCCAATGCTATCGATATTGAAGAAGAGACATTTGGGAATGGTGCCTGCGAAAGCACGTTTGAATGCTTGGCGGGACAGATTTGAAGCCCTGCCAACAAGGCCTTGTGTGCTGGGGTTGTGAGGTGCATCCGGAAGAGTTGGATCACGAAAAAAGACTATGGAAGACACACCAAAAGTCTGGGCCTATGCTCAGTCGATACCAACCTAATGACTGCACAAGCGCCGGCATTCCAATCTAGAGCTCGGCGTGCAGTGATCTTCACGTGAGCTTGAATGTCATCACGCGCCCAGAACCCCTGATGGCAGACAGCCTTCTGGACCCTTGTAGTCGTACTCGCAAGTCAGAGACGGACAGGTGAAGTGCCATCAGGATCACGGTTGCGAAGCATGTTTAAGGCCCATCTCACCAGCCACTGCAGTGCTAAGTGACGCTGCCTTAGGGCCGACTGTAGAAGAAGGCAAGGTTCATATTATCACGCGCAGTGCTACTCGAATGCTGGTTTCGTAGGACCATGTGTCCACAGGCCGAGGCATGCGTTGCCCTTTCACCGGCTGTTCTGGCATTGAGCGGACTTGCCATCCGATAGATCCCCATGCGGAGCCTCTCTGTGGATAAGCCGCAGCCATCAAAAATCGAAGCAGTTCTACGTTTGGGAGTTCTCATGGATGGACCAGCAAAGTGATAAGGCCATGTGTAGCAATGCCTGTCCACACACAAATATGATATAAAAATCCATAGATGAATGGACATGTTTGTTTATGCTGGTACATACGAAATGCTGCAGCGAATTCATGGAGTTTGGCTTGTGGGGGATCCGTGGCCAAATTTTGTTGGCTGCCCGCTTTCATACTCGGGTGGCTCGTGACCGGACACTTGTGGTCAGCGCGAGGGGCAAGGCAGGACATCGCACGCCTCGTGGAAATGCCACACCGAGTCACATTGATTCAATTGAAATTTGTGTACACATATTTATCTGGCAGTAAGACAGACTGCTCAAATTGTATCGACTCTTGCATTATGCTGACAGGTAAGGGCCTCAGCGACTCCAGCGTTAGATGGCCATCTGAAGTTTCAGGGCTACAGTAGTAACTAGTGCAGACAGAAGACATCAGAAGACTGGACTGCTGAAGTTGCAGGCGCTTCTTGCTCTGGATGGGCTAAGAGTCGTAGCCCCAAGAGCGGCAGAAAGGTTGCAGAAGATCTTTTGAGAAGCCTGTGCAATGGGACCAGGAGATGGCGAATGGTTGCAAGAGACTTTGGGGGGACTTCTGGGACCAAAAGCACAGAGAGCCTTGGAACCCGGAAGCCCAGAGCTCGGACGAGTTAGGTCATGACTTGTGGAGCTTCTTAGGGTCTGGGCGGCGGGATGCTTTGCGCACACTTCTTGACATTCTGGCAGAAGGGGCGGCACCCCGAACTAAGCATTCAAAGACTGGTGCAGCCCCGGAAGCTTGGATGAAGCATGCGTTTCCATGTCTTGTGGAAAGCATTCGGGTCGTAGCCGACCCCGGGCAGGCGTGTGCAGGGATTCTCCAGTAATGCAAGCGAAGTGAGGAAGCCTGTGAAAAGGGGCAAGTAGTGCTTCGGTACGACATGTACGAACATGGTATGCACATCCGGCCTGGGAACTGAATGGTCGCGCAAGGGTGGCGCAACGGCCAGTCCGAATCAGGACCTGCCAACCATTCCAATCCATTTCGCAGATGGACATACCACCTGCCATGTAAACAATCGGAGTTATTGCCACAAACCGGAGGATGTTGGAAGTGCCGAGGAGAAAGGGCAGGCTGAGCCTCAAGAGCTGCCTATAACGGCCCTTCAAAAAGGGCCCACAGCCTAGCACGGCCTAGCAGCGCCCTTTCAGCCTTCTGCCAGGGGCCGGGACAGGTCAGGGCCTGGCCATGGCCATGGCGGGCATGGAGCGGACTTTCGGTGCCTCGGCAAAGAGGGGGAAAGAGAGTTAGAGTATACCGTATACCTATTTTCGGCTAATAATGCCACCGTCAACCCATTAGATGATCATTCCTAGGGTCCCCCCTACATTTCACCGATATATCACTACTACTACCCCATTATCAATGCAATTTTAGGAATAACAATTACCCCATCTATTATCTCTAAAGTGGCATTATTAGCCAAAATAGGCAAGGGGTTCCTTGTAGAATTTGGTTTAAGGTTTAGGGTTAAGGGTTAAAACAACACTGTAATTATAATATATAACTGCTTATGTATTATAATTACATTGTAACTATGCTGTTGTTGGTTGCAAATGCTTATTCTTCATTTGTCCAAATTCCGTTATCCTTCCATACATGAAGTATTGTCTTGAATATTGATTTTCCCAAGTCTCTGTCGTCTGTAATTGTCTTAATTGCTTCTCTTAAATACAGGTATTCACATACAGTGAGTCCATACCACTGTGTTCGTTAAACTTTTCTCCTACTGCCTTAATTTTTTCAAGACTACTAATGTTTTTATACAGTTCAAAAAATTTCTTCTTCGTCTCTTAAACATACTGAACCAAAATAGTTCAAATTTATTCTGAACTGTTTTCTCAACAGGTACTTGCACTCGCCATAAATTATATGCTACTTTCCACCAAAATTTGTCTCCACTTGGTGGTAGTGGGTTTTCAGTTACAAGTTGAATAATGTCTTGTGGTGTGGTTGCTCCTTCTAGTTGCCAGTTCATCATTCTATTATTATAGTAGGGTTTTTTCTTTAAGTCATTTCCCTAGAAAAATTATACTCTTAAGATTTACTGGATCGTGTTTTTTTGACAGACTTGTCCAAGCATTCAGAACAAGTCGCAATGTATTTAACATAACAATAAGAATGCTTACCAACACAATAGCAACGCTTGAAATAATCAATGGATTTGACTTGTTTACAACGATAACACTTCCTAGTATCAATATTATTTGTTTCAAGGAAGTTTTAAGTCGTCATATACATCTCTGCCACTTTTAGTTCCCGCTATGTATAAAATACTACCATTTTGATAAATACCTTCAGGATTTTCATATGCTAGTTTCAATTCTTGAGTATCAGTCAAAAACGTTTCGGTTCCTGCTAGTTATTCCATAACTTCATTATGTATTTTGCTTGTCGTATTGGGAGCTTCAAATGGTGTCTCTTCATTCCTGCTTCTATGTTTGTACATTGAAATACAATTAACTTATAAAATAGTTTCTAATCTTTTTTTATAATGCTCAAATTCAAAAAGGTATATATTGACAGTAGCTATAAAGTAGGTGGATCATCTAGCGATTTTATCATTGATTTGCCTGAAACGGTGCAATTAGAGGATAATGTAAAATGTATTCTTCACGAGGTAAGCATTCCCCATTCTTGGTTTTCCATTCAACAAGGGTTTAATGATAATCTCTACGTTTTTCAATTAGATCCTAACGGTGTAAATCCTGACATAATTGACTATCGTGTGTTCTCTATTGACGAAGGTAACTATGCAGGCGCTGAACTTGCCGAGCGAATACAATTTTGGTTAAACGATTACTTTGATACAAGAAACCCAGATGTTGTTAGAACTGATACTTATACAGTTTCATATAGTGCAAAAACGAATAAAATAACGATAGCCGTAAATTATGCAAACCTTATATTTAATGTTTTCACAGATGCAGAAGCAGTAACAAACCAAAATGAGTTTACAGGTATTGATGTTAGTAATTTACATTCACTAAACAAAGTCTTAAATATTGTTGATACATCACCTACACATGGTATAGCCTTACCTTTTGTTAGTGGGTTTATTGATTTAACACCAGTTAAAAATCTTTATATACATAGTAATGAATTATGCAATTACAACCAATTAGCAGTGGCGGGTAATTCATCAATAGTGAAGAAAATAAATGTATCAGTCCCCTATTAGGTATCATCAATGGTAACGAAATCAATGCTTTTGATTATATTGACGTTTCCTCAAAAATACTATGAAGGGTATCATTTCGTTTTACAAATGAATTCAACCAGACGGTCAATTTTAAAAAAGTTGAGTGCTCTTTCAGTTTGACATTTTTTAGGGATTAATAAATATCTAATTAGAAAAATCTAGACTATATTAATAATGAGCAACGAAGAGGTTGAAGAGGCTAAAAATGAAGAAGCAACTGAACCAGTGGCAAATGAAATTGTTGAAACAACCAAAGAAGAACAACCCACTGAAGAAATCAAAGAAGAAGAAACAAACACAACGCCTGTGGAACAAATAAAAGAAGTGGTAAAACCAAAAGCAACGGCGAAAAAAAATCCTAGAACTGTTAAAGTGGTTGAGCTAGTTGAATGTGGATCCTGTAACAAAAAGATGCTACCAAAGAGTTTGAGAAACACGCACCCCTACAATTGCAAAGGCCAACCAACTGAAAGATTGCCCGTAAATAGACAGAAGGCAAGTTACGGGACAAAAGTAGAACAAAAACTAAGAAAATAAATTGAAGAAGAGATGAAGAAGAAGTATGAAATAGTTAATCATTCCGAGCCTGTTGAAGCAAAAACAAAACCAAAACCGAAACCGAGTGCGCCAATTGTGCCAAGTGTGCCAAAGCAATTAACCGCAACGGAATTACTACAGCAGCCGTATAATGAAATGAAACGGTTAAGACAACAAGAGAAACAAGAAAAGATTAATAAATTTAAAGCAAGTATGTTTTAAGTATTGTTAATAATATTTTTTAATCTAATATTTTTAATAATAATATGATTATGTTTAAAAGCAAACCAGAGTTCAAAAGAATGCCACAGGTTCAGCAATATTATGATATTGATGATATTTTTGGAATTGCTAGTAGGAGAAAATATATAGAAGATATGAAACTGAGAATTGAAGAGGCAGAGAACAGAGGCAAAAACGTTAGACTTCGCAATGATTGGCTACAACATCAGAAGAAAGCAATATATCAGGGTCAGCTTGATGATATTAACAGACAGCTAGAGCGCCCAATGATGCCAGTAAGAACAAAGGAGGAATTACAAAAGAAACAAAAAGAAATAAAAGATATAATGGCGGAAATAATCCAATATTTGTTATATGATCAAAACATTGAAATCAGAATTAAGACTTAGACCGACATACGATGAACTGATAGGAATGATTGAAGCACAAGGCGATCCTAACAGACCACCCATTGAACAGGTAATTGACAGAAGGGCTACGATATTCAGAAACAATCAGTTCGGTAGTCAATTTGATAATGTTGATTTTCTAGGCTTGAAGGAACAAGAAGAAGACAAAGTGAAGGAATAATTAAGACAGACACAACTGAGACACACGGCAATGGCAACTGGGTCTTCAATGGGTGTTTTAAGTTATGGAGGCAGAACGCCAATAGGTGCTTACAATGCCGACGTCTCGCCAGAGACTCGCGAACTTCGTGACGGCTTTGAAACGCCTACCAATGATTTTAATATGTCAGATGAACAAATCATAAGAATAAGGGCAGAAATGGAAGCGTTCAATAAAAGAATACAAGAAGCACAACAGGCGTCGTCATCATCAGCAAGAGTAGATCTAGATGAAGCACACAGACAATCTTTACCAGTCGGTGTTATGGATAAAGAAGAATTTGAAGATATGCCACCTTTAGTTAATATAGAAGAAGGAGAAGAAGAATTTGAAGATGATCCAGAATTGATACCTGCAGACGAAGATGAAACAACAAGACCCCCGCCGATCTCAAGAAAGCATAAAGAAACCATAGACTACAACGAAAATATAGACAGATGGAAAAACAAAGACTTGTCAGCGGATGATATATTGTATCAGTTACATTTGAGAGGAATACAACTAACAGAAGAACAAGAAGCAGAGATGGCAAACCTTAAAACAAAAGGAAAAGGAAAAACAATAACAAAGAAGGATTATTTAGTGAATTATGTTGAGAGATTAATACAAACCGGTAAATGGACGGACGAAATCAATGACCAACTTTTAAGAAGTAGGATGGAGGAATGGCGAAACATGAAGAAAGGCAAAGGTAAGGGAGTAATAAGAAAGGCATTTGAAAGTGCGGGTAGTGCTTTACTAGATGCAGGTAAGGAAGTCGCAAAGGATGCGTTAATCGCAGGTGCCCAAAGTGCTGTTATGAGTTTGTTATAATATCTAAAGCTAATATATATGTTAAGATTGAAACCCACTTATGAAGAAATGTTAAGGGAAGCAAAAACTAGAAGACTAAAAATATTACCAGAAAGAGAAAGACGAACGCAACAAGGAATGTTACTAGATGATCTAGATATGGATGATTTTGATTTAGACAAGTATGACAAGAAGACAATATTAATGAATGAAAATCCAGAGAAAGGAACGCAAACAGACAGATTTAACAAGACTTCCACAACAGATAGCGAAAGTGCTAAAAGTGTTGAAGAACATCGGCGTATGATAAGCGAAGAACAACAAGCAGACAGCGAATATTCACACCAAGAGAGCGAAGCATCGGACGAGAAAGAAAAACAAAAATCATTAATGCGACGCCTGTTTGATAGTTTGTTTGACGCTTCGGCAGAAGACTCGCGAGGCATTCGCGATGAAGTTGAGGATGATTTACAAAGCTCACGGGTGATAAGCCACGCTAGTAGCGCAAGAGGAAGTAATGACCCTATGCCAAATAAAAAGAGTGAAACACCCATACAATCAAGTTCATCATCATCAGCAACTAGTAGAAGTGTTTTATTACCAGTTGAAAGCGCCCCTGTTAGTGTCAATAGTTCAAGAAGTCAAACTATAGAATATGTTGATGAAGAAGATTTACCTGTCAATGTTTCAAGTAGTTCTTCAAATAGAACCGTTCAGTATGTTAGTTCTAGAAGTTCAAGAAGTAGCCGGCCCATAACAATTAGTTCGGGTTCGCGATAAATATCTAAGATATAGTAATGGTTGAAATAATTATTAAAAAATCAAGTAAAGATTGTAAGAAATACGATGCTGTCATTGATGGGAAAATGACAGTTTCGTTTGGTGCTACTGGCTATTCCGATTTTACCAAGCATAAAGATGAAGATCGTAAAAAGAATTATATAGCAAGGCACAAGCCTAATCAAGACTGGAAGGATCATACAACCGCAGGATTTTATGCAAAAAATATTCTCTGGAATAAGCCTACCATTGAAGCATCTGTCAGAGATACCAATAAAAAGTTCCCAAACTTGAACATAAAAATGAAATAATTATTAAAAAAATATTTTGATAATTATTTCGCACTGCAGTTACATAGCTTACACCAAGCTTCGCACTTGTCGCTTTCGTGGGCGATATTGTTATCTAGCCTCTGGGCTGTCATGTTACTTGTTAAGAAGCCGTTCTTAAACTCAAATTCAAAGTTACATCCGCAGTTGTTACAATGACTGTAGACTCTCTTCATAAACCAACTTGGATCAACATACTTGCTGTCGTCTATTTCTCTATTCGCTTTCTGATCTTGTAATTTGTAGGCATTTATCTTGTTAAGCCAATACTTATGTAAGGTTGTTTCGTTCAGTTCATTCTCTTCTTCGGCACTTTCGTAGAAAAGGACATTATTAGAATCGGTGCTTCTGGTCAATGCACACCACAACCATTCACGAGTTACTAAATGCGACTTCTCCCACTCGTGTATAACGATCTTACCATCAATTGAAGCCCCTTGCGCGGAATGGCAAGTGGTGCAGTAGTCATATCTGAAATGCTTATCTAAGGTAGCTATGTCCGTTATATACTGCTGTTTGGATTTAACATCCTCTAACTTAATTATGTTCTTGGATATACTTACGATCCTAAACTTGTAATTAACATTGAACTTAACATTATTCGTTTTCTTGTATAATCGGCAGATTAAGATCTCATCCACTTCATACTTATCTGTTTTACCTAAACTCTTTCGGATTGCATTAGACACCGTTAAGCACCTCATATTCGTATAGGCTTTGTTCTTCTGAGACTCCGTCATATCGCCGGTTGTGTTGAAATACTTATGAACAAACTCGAATAAAGATAACTTATGAAGCCACATATCATCATTCATCATATCTAATATTTTTCTGTTGGCTTCTGCTCTTGGATCTCCTTGTGGTCCTAATCTCTTACATATGGTAAGCATGACATTATACTTGAAGATCTGATTAATACATTCGTCTGCGTATTCGTCCGGCTTCCTTGTATTCGTTAGGTCTTCAATTGGCGGTAGCTGTTTGACATCACCCGCTCCGATTATGATTTTATTCGGGTGCCGTTTAATAAACTCTCTGATCCTATTTAGTATGTGGGTTCCATTCATATAGATCTCGTCAAAGACAATACAATTATAACTACTATGATCAAACTCGGGGAGCTTCTCCCCGTCGCCAACGGGTATGGCGAAAAACTTATTGGTAGTCACCGCGTCGTCATCTATGTTCTGCGATAAGCTGTTCTGTGGCACTACGAACAGAGTATTACATCCTAACTTGCTGAAATGCTTCGCTATATGCGACTTGCCACCACCTGCGTATTTAGATCGGATCATCATAGGGTTATGTGATACAATATCTTTTGCTATGCTTTCCGTGTCCCACTCGTTTTCTATGGGTCGGGTCTCGTTGTTAAATACGGGTATGGCGATCAGCTCGTTCTTTTTTGGTGCCCACTGCTCGGTGGGTTCTGCTATGTTTTTACTCTTCTCGTGTCTCCACCCGCCGATACGATCGGAAAACTCTATTAGGTTCTTAGCACGTCTTAAATGACCCGACGAAGGCATCTGTTTTAACACTCCATACTCCTATATGGTTTTCTGTTAGCTTGGTGTAGTCGGTGTGCATTTTAAAGTTATGGTGTTGTAATAATAGTTCTTTGATGTATATATATATATATATATTTCCGTTTCGTAGAGTGGCTTTATCGGTCACTGTTAAGCAATAATATTTTTTGTCCATTTCCTTGTCTATACCAACTACTCCGCCGTCTGGAGTATCAACCCATTCTGTATGCATACCCGAAATTCTGTTAATCTTTCCTCCGATCTTGTTCTGATAATATAAGGCTTCCTTTAGAGTATCAAAGGCATAACTTTTATGGGCCTTGTTCGTGTTCTTCTCAAGTAGCCCGAAGTT